CCCCCCCCCCCCCCCCCCACACCTGAGGAATCCAAAGGCATTCTCTTCACATCGCACTATATTTTGCGTAAACTACCATGCTGCCGGTCGCCCCGGTAGTCTAGTGGGCATTCTCGAAAACCTCCTGCTGCTTAGTGTCAGGGTTAGGGGTTCGACTCCCTGCGCAAGCGAGCTTTTCTCTCGCTTCCGTTCCTGGCCTCGGTGGAGAAAAGCGCTACATAGTACGAATATACACAAAGGCAAGAGAGTGCTGCACTCTTTCCGCATAAGAAATCGGAGGCACACTACCGCAGGAGTGGTTGGTAGGGGGCCTCAGGGGCCTCGGGGAGAGGAACCATTCTGTGTGACCACGGGTTGGAGTAAACCGCACATGTGCTGAAACCACTGATTTCAAGTCAAGCCAAAAACAAAAAAACACTACGGAACATTCTCGAAGGATACGCTGCAAGACATGTACTTTTCGTTCTAGGGTTCTCAGGTCGTTTCAGTAGTATCCCCTCACTTCAAACTCGCTTCATTGGCACTGCAACAAAATGAGCTCAGCTCAGGGAGGCGCTTTCAGACAAAAGCAAGTGATGACCGTTACGTATGTTTTGCTTTGTTCAAGTCTTTTCTCGTAAGGCTCGCCCAAGCCCAAAGGTCCCTTCCATTCATTAAATGCCTCAATCCGAGAGTAAGTCAAGCTCGGTTCCACGTGCTAACAGGGCTTCGTGGATTGGCTCGCGTTCTCGCTTCTCGTTTCTCTCCTCGTTTTCCGGTTTGGTTTTCAGGTGTCACCCCCACGGACGCAGGAGGTCAAAAAGAGAGAACGGAGAGCTCAACCACAGGGTACATAGTGTTGGCTTCGCCTTGCGTTGTTGCGGGTGGTGAGCGCAAACTCTGCGAGCACCCATTATCATAGCACGGACGCAAGCCACTGCTGTAAGTGTTTGGATTTGTGTCGTGGGGGGGGAGGGTTGTACGTGGTGACCGCAATTTTTCGGCGCGTTCGAAGTGTTAATAAAAATGTAGAGTTGTGAATCGGAACGATGTACACGATATATATCGTCCGATATATATCGATATCGGTATCGAAAATTCGTGCCGATGTTCCGACCGATGTTTTCTTAGGGGCTCCGTGAATCAAATTTAGGGTATGCGCAGCAGTACGGAGCCCCTGTACGCCACACACACACAGCACAGCAGCGCAGAAACAGCAGACAACAGCACCATGTCCAGAACCAACCGGGAAGTAGACACAGGGAGAGACCGAAGGAGGGTACTGCTGAGGATACGCGACAATACATCAATCTTAATCTTTTTTTTTTTTTTCTACATTCCGTGCGATGTTTGCAGCTGAAGTCAAGCCCTTTTTGATGCCGCATTTGGGCCCATTTTGACGGGAAATGAAAGGAAAATGCACCAAATTTTCTGCCTCCGGCGGCGCCTCCGGCGAGGCCCCCTCACCAGCCGGGGGGGGCCGATGGGGGGGCTCGCTTCGCTCGCCCCCATCACGGCTCGCTGCGCTCGCCCCCATCACGGCTCGCTGCGCTCGCCCGATATTTTCTCCGATATATCGCCTACGGCGCCTACGGCGCCTACGGCGATATATCGGAGAAAATATCGTTATATCGGCTGCTGCGCAGCCGATGTAAAATATATCGTTTTTTCGTACCGATTCACAACTCTATAAAAATGATTTTTCAGGTCAAATAAACAGAATACATCTCCTGTTACCAAAGGCTACAACGCACCTACTATTGTACAGACGGCCGGGTGATACTCCGAACTCGCTTCCTGCGATGTATACACACCATCACTCATTCTTTCCCTCACAACAACCCAAGGGTCACAGATCCCTGGTGTCCTAACTTGGTGTCAGACACCCAAGGGAACAAACAGTTCACGTTCCTTCACATAACGACGCAAGAAGAACAGCTGTTGCCACTGCTCCTTCGCTCGTAGCTGTCCAAGTACGACAACTGCTTGCGGTTGATGGCCCCGCGGCGTCTGTCGCGAATATATTCTACCGCCTTGATTGGATCCTGGTCCCAACGGTAACGGTAGCGAACACACGATTGCGGTGGGGATTGTCAGTATCGGCGCTTGGCCGCCAGATGATCAAATGGGATATCAACAACTCGCAGATCATCCGACCGACAAAAACTAATACGACCACACACAAATGAGCTGCAAGGCGGACTTCAATTCAAACTAGCACCATCCTCATGTGGACCGGTCTGCAGCGAATCAGGGTGCGCCAGCCCAGCTAACGAGGGTACACGAGCAGTCCTGGTTTTTGATAAAAGTGAAAAACAGCATCTCATGTCCCAAGATCTGTAGTATCGCAAATCCTCGACAAAAGCGTACCTTTCCATACTCGATAAGAGCGATGGCTACCAGCACCGGTGCGCGCCCCAGTCCCGCTACACAGTGAACGGCGATGGTCGGTCCTTCCGACCCGTTGGGCCCCGAGCTATCGGGAGCGTTGTGGAATGTGGTCTTCACCACATTAAGCCATTTGTTGATGATCTCAACAGGAGGGGCACCGCCATCGTCGTACTCCATTTCCAGCAGCTATACTCAACACCGCGGGGAGAGCGAGACAGGAGCAAGTCGCGCGCAAGTTAGCAGCAGCAGTGTTACGGCTAACAAAAGGTGACCCAACAGACGTGAACTATAAAATGTCAGGCACATGTGGGCACTGCCGTCTACAGCAGTGGCAGTGCTACATGTCCACATCTGCGACCACAAGCAAAGAACGCGCTTACCTTCATGCCCGCGGCCTCGACCTCGGAGGCAGGGTAGGTCGGTTCGCAGACGCGCACAACGCACACCACATTCTGCTTCTTGAGCTCTCTAATATACAAGTGCAAGTTGTTCGCCTTCGGGGCGTCCATGATGACGAATCGCAGCTTCTTCCACTCAACCAACGACGGGTGGGCAGACATGGTGGCAGCAGGTTCGACCCGGCCTAGAGCAGTGTTGGTTGGCGCGGTCCTAGCAGGAGGGAAAGCATCAAACGACTTGGTCCATTAGATTACAGTGGGTCTGGCGTGGAGAATGTCCCCGTGTCCAAAACACAACACGTCTGCTCTCCATGCTCCCGTGTCGGGACAAGAGCAAAGATCGACACTACTGATACTGCAACACGGCTTGGCCCCATCATGGATACAGTACGCATGGGTGTTATACCACCATTGCTTCCAGGCGATGGGCATCATACAGACTCCAAAGTACTGGCGACTCGTTGGCGCACGCAGCGACTCCAAGAAGCACATCCAAATCAAGATCAGGGCTCCCTGTCCTTGTTTCGGCAAGGATCCACGGAAGTATCCAAGCCCCTCTAGGTGTCTGAAGGGGACTTCTCGGTAAGGTAAAACACCAATTCTCTTGGCTTAGTGTCAGCCATGGCCGTTGCACAGAAATTGCACAAGGCGACGGAGAAACATTCTGAAAATTCAACCACAGAAAAAACCTTTAGACGTCGCTTGGTGGCGGCTTCATCACGACGCTTGCTCTTGCAGGGAATAATGACCGAAAAAGCGAACAGAGTGCGCGCGTTGTAGCTTACGCCTTGCAGAGGACAGTGACTAATTGCTGGCCCACACAATCAAAATCTCTCAAGTCAAAAACGGAGACCATCGCGTGGGCTTTGATGGATTCAGTCGATGGACAAACGTGATGTGCTGTGCTCTTGTAGAGTTGCAGGAGCCGCGCTGGGCACAGCAGCATGCGCATTCGAAATGCATACGCTGAGCTGAGCGCGTGGCGCTACCCACTGCGTATCAATCGCTCACCACGTTAGTGGCGCCTAGGTGCTCGTTCTCAAGCACACGTGGTAAGAGCGATTTTGCGACACCACGAACTACAGCTGGCCAAGGCCCTAACACCACGGGTAGAGTATTCCAAGGCAGCCCACTACCGGCAGTTAAGACGTGAAGACTGATCACGACTGCCGGAGACGGGACCTCTGACGGAATGTCCGTCCGTACCCCGACACGTTCCAGTTTTCCGGAATACAAAAACAACCCGCTAAGTTCAAAATTACTTGTCCAAGCTATTACTAGAATTCATGATGGACGATCTGATTCGCGCCCTGCTCGTCATGGCCATCTGAAGCCCATTTATTGAAAAGATGACAACGCGAGCAGCGCAAGCCACGAAAAACTTGAAAGTACGCGCGTTCTGTCTCTGCTTTCAGACCACCACACTACCATCATACAATCAGGAACAAGCAGCGCACCCATCGAATTAAGTCGGACCGGGGTGGGCAAAATACAGCACGAACGGGATGATATACGATCTTACTCCATTTACGATCCAGTCTCCGTGCATCAAAGCAGACACACTCGAGCGTAAGATCAACATCACACCTATCGGGGTCATCGCAGCGGCGTGCCTACTAAAACACCGTTCGTGTTCTAGCACCAGCAACGTCGGTGTGTTGTACTGGGCATTGCACCGGGAGTGTATTCGAAAAACTATGGGAACGAAACGATTACTTCTATTTGTACATCCGACAAGTGCGGAGGTTTAGGTTTTCGCCCCTACAACGGGGTTGTCGCCAACATCGTGGTTATGGCAACGAGGTGCCACCGCCCATATGAACCACGATGATCCACCCCTGCGGTAGGTAGATACACTTCAGCAGTAGACTTCTGACTCCCTGTGCAACAATGAATACATCGCATGCGCATATTGTCGTGCGTTGTGCATACCAGTGGGTTAACGCCGAGCAAGGATGGTGCGTTCACTCTAGCATCATCATCACCGTGACGAGCACTGCTTAGGTAATCACCACCAATTTCTGTATTTTCGTCAATCTAAAAAGTGAAGTACAACACCATGTGTCCGTCTCCTGACGTCCTTGATATTTATCGAGGCTGCTTGCCATCTCGCTCCATTGACCTGTCTCACCTTGTGCTCGACTCGCCCCCTGGCCCCGAGCTGTCTGCCCCTCGGCTCACCATCCAACCGCAAGCTGCAGGAGATGAGGCAGCCCGCCCAACCCCGACTACTACTGTGGGAGAAGTGCGCCAGCTTCACGCTGTTTGCCACGAAAACGCGATGAAGTTACCCCTTCGCAGTGAACAACCCGGAGTGGTGTTCTTGAGCTGAAGGTCAACCGCGTCCCCACTCGGTACACCCGCTCACCGCTGGTGGCTGCAATACTGCGGCTGCTGCAGCGGCCACGACTCACTCTACAATCCCGTCTGCGGGGCGTGCCTGTTCGCCGGCAAGAGAGCGACATCAGGAGATGAAAGTTGGTATGCTGTTCAAGCGATGTGGTACTTTGCGATGACAACATACCTCGCAGTACTAATGAGCTAGCCTGAGAGTCATGCCAGTAGAAGCTACATACAAAGGGAGCACGCCCGAGGAAAAGACGCAACCTCTTCAACAAAAGAATTCCAATATTTTGATGGCGGTCAAAACACCACATCAGGGCCTTTCCCTCACGCCAACACCCTGACTAACCCCTACCGTATTCTGTCGACGAATCTAACCGAACTCACAAGGATCAAGCCCGACGCAGGCTGCGGAAGACGTTGTTGCTGTCGTACAGCGGGGTGAGGGGAATGACGTACAGAGCAGGGGGATGCCACGAAGGTCTTCTGCACGTTAACTTCTAGCCCGGCTCGAGTTCTAGCCCTCCGAAGACGAAAGAGGATGGCGCTCCTAGCAGGGTAGTCTTTACCGTGACTTGTCCCATGTATGAAGGGGTTGGACAGATGCGAAGGGGATTAGAGTGGGGAGCGCGTTCGCGGTGTGTGGGTAGAGAGAAGCAGGCTTGTCTGTGCTATGAACGGGAACAGCTTGATCGATAGGGGGCACGCAGAGCATAACTCAACAACAACCACCAGAACGGGTGGTGCAACCTGACGGGTTCTGCGAGGTTCTGGGGGCTGGCTCGACAGATTCCAAAATTCGGAAATTGAAAATTCGATTGGCCAGGCTTGCAGAATTACTAGCACATTCTTTCATAAACCCTTGCCTACCTCTGCCCTGCTGCCTTACCTCTCTAAACGAAATATCTCCGATTCGACATCCCACGGCAAGGTCCCTCCTCTCTGCGATTTCCGCGCGGGAAGTATTGTAGTCCACCTATATAATGATATTCGATGGGTTCCGCATTGAAACGACTCTGAAACCGACACAATCGACAGCAAGCAGCAGGATATATAATATGCAGACCGCGCCACCATGCTCCTCTGGGGGGTAACCAACGGCGACAGGCTGCTGTGATTGTAGGTTTCCGCGTACTACCCCTGAAGTACGCGTTTTGGGATTTTTCGTCGACCGCAGCAGCAGCAGCAGCAGCAGCAGCAGCAGTGGATAATGTTCTGAATTTTTTGGAACCTATACTACCACCACATTGATTTGTTCTCGCGAATTGTAGGCAAGAGCCGACGTATGCTTATGTTTTTTCAAATAGGTACAACAACTACTGCCGTAATAAACAGTACTTTGTAGTAAATAGATAAACTAACGTATGTCGGTTATGGCATACTGCTGTAGCCTTTCTGCACGTATACTTGTTTTTCCTAAATACTGCTGTAAAAAGCCCCCCTCGAACGACTATGAATTTCGCTCGAACAGGGAGCTTTTATGTGTTTAACGGGTAGTCTTTCTGTGTGCACATTTGTTTTTCCTAATATATGTATTTTTCTAAAATCTACGCAGATGTTTTTGTGCTAAGCACCAACTGGTATCACTGATATAAATCATCAGTGTATAGGCTTAAACAAACTCGAAATAAGTCAAGTACCCAGCTGGTTTTCCTCTACTCACTGTAAAGACTTCAACACATCCCCTTCGAGTGTAGTTATACCTCGAACGGGTAGTCTTTCTGTGTGTATATTTGTTTCTCCTAATACGTGGATGGAAAAAAAAAACTGTTGTGCCTGTGTGACCCCGGCTGGAGCGTCCAGGAGGTTGTGCCGAAATACGTAAAGACCAACATAAATGGGATGACCAAAAATGAAAAACAGAACACATTCGCCGCCGGCCATTCTACTACGTAATTAAGCCACTAGCTGTGAAAATTGTCTAGACTACTGACTCTTCGTTACATTACGGAACAATATACATACGCTCCTTTTCTCTTTCCAATATGGATCAGACCGCTATGTCGCCCCGGTGGTCTAGTGGGTAGCCTCGCAGCCTGCTAGGGGCCAGGTCATGGGTTAGAGTCCCGACAGAGTGAAGTTTTTCTCGCTAATTAAATCCTGGTCTCCGTTGGAAGCGACGCGCTGCAAAGCTCGTTGTTAGTAAGCTTGATCGACTTCATAAGTCGAGAGGGAAGGGATTGCTGTACCCTTCTCGCGATAAAAATATCTCAGGCAGGAACCGCTGGAGGGGGTCCAACCTCCCCTCCTGGGTGACCCCGGTTGGGTCGTCTAGCTGGTAGAAGTGGAGGATAGGGGCCAGAGGGGCAGACGACAGAGTCCAATGATGGGAGAAAAACAAACAAAAAAACACGAACACGCACTAGTGAGTGGTAGACTTGGCTAGTACAAGTATAGACTTTAAATGTAGTTCAAGACACCGCCCGCTATAGGACTCTGTTACCCACTTATCATCATGTGCAGAAAATCTCGTCTTTATGCAGGACCGAGTCAGTCAACGCTACGTACCTCTAGATAGGCATCATGCAGGGCATCGACATCGACTACGTATTGTGGAATAAGTTGTAAGTAGACTTCATGATGAGCAGCATTGCCATGTTCTCACATCGCTTCCCCCTCAACGCTGTATCCCGTGATTGCATCACAAAAGAGTCAATAGTCTCTCTCGTGATCTGTGTGCATGCCCCAGCACGGACGGCGCAGACACCGTCATGGCCCCCCACCCCCGTCTGAGTTTTGAGGCGCACTTTCGGAGCTAATACAAAATCTCTTCACGCAGTGACCAGGTCTGTCTACATAAATTTAGTAGTGATGTTTAGAAGTATTTTTACGTATAATTTCGATTACATATCCGTGTACAAGTTGCCGCCCCAATCGAACTGACGCTCCTTCGCGCCTACAGCGTGTTATACATGATAATAGTATCGACTCCTTGGTGGTCGGAACTATAATTTCACAGGATTCGTTGCTCAATGCCCATGGGCGTGCCGAGGACAACGTCCGCTTGCCGTGTAGAAACACACCGAACAAAGGACGGTAGCGCCTCGTACCTATACTCTGCCCTTACAGTACAACAACTTTTCACCGCACGATATGCATTTCGCCGGGTGCTGCTCTCTGGTGCTTCCTCCTTGATTCGTTCGTAGCACAGTAGGGAGGCGATCCACGCCTCTCCAACACCAATCAAAGGCAGGCGACACTGCCACAACCCGACACCAAGTCTGAAAAAATGGCGATGTCGACAACGCACACTGCGGGTACTTACAACCTCGCACGATCGAGAAACGAAATGCAAGCGAAGGCACCTCAGTCTCGGGAAAGTCTTCGCCCATTTCAAAGCTTGTGACAAACATTAGCGATTGGAAAGTTTACATATTCCAGCCTTGCAAGTCTTCCTCTCTGAGACCGCTCCATAGTCCAAGAAATCTTCTCTCAACAGTATTGCCAGCACATTATTCTAGTACTGGTGGCGACAGACTCCTTGCCATTCAGCTCCTCGGAGATGTATCAATACCACGAGAGGGGGCACCTGCCAAGACTAACCTAGCCCCCCCGACCGGCGCGCATCGATAGATATTCTTGGCGATCCACCCAGGAAGAGCCGAAAATCTGTGGCAAACGGAAGCAGGGAAAAACCTGAGAGAGATGGAACCAACATGCCAACCTCGTTGGATACGGAGCTTGTTTGATACGTTGGATCTTGTACGGGAGGAACACACTCTACGCCTGCGTGTATCTCCGGGCAACTAGCTCACTACCTCACTCACCATCGATTCCGAGCTTTTCATCGATAGAAACCGTTGCTTGTCTGAAACACTGAGTAGCAAGCGCCGCTCCGAGCCGGTCTGGATTGGCAATACCTGATTGACGAAGGGTCAAAGGTGGGCAACACAAACGTTCGATTTGCGAAAGAAAGCCAATACAAGGGTCTTGGAAGGCTTGGGCACGGCTTTCAAGAGGATCACTACCATACCGGTGCTAAATAGTACTCGACGCCGAACACAGTCTCACAATGGGGATCCGAACCGCTACTCGTATTATGTCAGACACCATGAGTTACCTTTCACATCCTGCCCGACAGCACAGACCACTCTCAACACGCTCGCGATACATGTGGAAAGTTCTTCGAAGGTTAACTGGCCGTCTCCGTCTGTATCGAACAATGTGAACGCCACCAGTATCTGCACACCGGGGGACGGTCGACGGGCACGGAAACATCAGTGCGAGAAAGCCAAGAGTAACAATCACCAACGAACGATGGGCAAGGACCTGAACCAACAGGGAGTACGTTGCGCAGATGTTTCCGAACTTGCACCAACCTTGTCTTCCACGGACAACTGGCATAGTGTCGATATGCCGCAAGTTAAGGCAGCAAAGCCCACAATTCCGTCGTTGTCTTGGAAGGCGCGGTGAATGCGCTGTGTGAGAAAGAAGGCGTCGTCCCATTCGACCGTGCCCTCATTAGTCCCTCCCAGCTGCAAGAGGTAGCCGATACAGCGCCACATGTCGTCCAAAGCCACAGTGCCCTGGTGCCGATAGATTGAAGACACGGGAAGATATGTCTGGGTGCAAAAAGAAGGCATGTTGACGGCGTGCTTCGCGTACTGAGGACTTGAAAGTTTGCGCTCATTCAACAAACCGTTGTCGGAGGTATGGGTGGGGCACAGATGACGAGACCCGCAAAATAGGGGGGGGGATCTTCACGCCTCACCGTCACGGTCACTTCCGCCACTATTTCCATGAGTTCCGTCACGTTGAAGCAGTCCAGGCAGAGTAACTTTCTCGCGCGCATTACAACATGCTGCTTCCCCGACAAGCCTTCACCGTCTGCGTGCCCTACTTCCCTATCACCCCGAAGTGCAACATCCTCATCCGGCCGCGCATCATCTTCGCCCGCCTTTCCAATGCCTGGTGGTTCCAGTGGCTCAGCATCACGCGCAAACCCTTCTGCACCGTGTGGGTCGCCGTCATCGGACAGCCACCCGCTGAAAGCCCTTGGAGATATTCGACCATCGCCATTCCGCAATGCTTCCTCCATCATATTCGATGCCGTCAAGATACCCAATGCCTCTGGAGCGATCCCCACCTGCTAGTACGAGAGGCAGTGCAAGATTGAGAAAAAAAAAGTATGTTGCGGAATACGGTATGATCTAAACAAGAGATCTGACGCAATTTTGCGGAAGTGCTAGCGCCAGCTGGAAATTTTGAGTCCGAACCAGATGGGGCAGCTTCGCACCGGTAGTATTTCGAAGTGAAAAGAATTGTACTTGCTCCCTTTGATCAAACTAACAACTCGTTCCCACCTCTTCCTCGAGACTTGGCTGTAGCTTGTACATGGCGCGAAACGCGGACGTGGTGTATGTTGCAATATCTCGTGCGGTAATCCCGCATTCTTCACCGCCCAGGAACAGATTGAATATCGCTCGCATCTTCTCTTGTCGTGTATCTCCGCACAAAATCTGCCAGTCGAGATCATCGTGGCGCAACAGAATGGTTGTCGCATGTTAGTAATATCACACCTATATCTGTTGCTTTCAACTGTTTTAATGTGTCCAACTTCCTATGTGCCGGGTTTTCAACGAATTCAACTGGGTTTTCAACGAATTCAACCAACCCCAGGGGCACGTGAAGCAACTCACACATAAGCCAAAATATTGAGCTACTCACTATGGTGTGAACCATATAAACGTACTATCTTCGGACGCTGCTTGCATCAGATATCATGAGCATCCACATAATCTAACAGCACGGCTCAGGATAAGCGTAGTCACCAAACTTAACCAATCTCAACAACCGTCGCGCTCGAGATGTTCAGAGCCATTATAGGACTTGATATTTCCAAGCAAAACACAGACGTACCGACAGAGCACTTGCAAACTCGCAGAAATTGACGTCCCCCGCGTTATGTACATCAACAGCATCGAAGAGGCGATTGATGACATGACGTGCTGCCGATGAGCTGTAGCTTTGGTCGCGAGCATTTTCTTCGTACTCCCCGACGGTCTCCCTAACTCGACTCTCGTTTTCGATCGCCGTGCGCAGACGGCGAATGCATTGATGAACCGATTGTCTTGCTAAGCGTCCTCCCTCATTCACGAAGTCTTGTAAAACTGCAACAACCTGCGCAACTGAGGTATTGCACAACCGCGTGACTCGCCGCGCTTGCTCCAAACTCTCCTACGGGAGAGATCCACGGGACAAACGAACGGCCGGCGGCGTGTTGTGGCCCAACGAGAGGTAGAGGTAGAGAAAGCAGAGCAACGCGAAACCCAACACAATCACTACAAACACTCCAAACACTAGAAGCACATCGTGTGTCGTTGCGGGGCGATGCAGTGAGGTGCAAAGCCCATGCAAGCGCGGTACCATTCGATTCCCACCGTCAGGTGTCGTCGCGCCGTTGCCCCGTCGAGTGACCACGAGAGGTTGGGCGGCCCTCGTGAGAAAATTCTGCAGGAATACACATACTACTGCACCATAAATTTACTACCGCAGATCGCTTACATACACATACATACACATTACTTAACATACAAAAGAGTGAATATAGAAACCCGAGCACAGGGGCCCATGTTAATTCGCAGCGTACCACTTGGTATGCAACACATCAATCTGGTCCAGCAGCAGTACGATGATGCCAAGGAAAATCACACCAAAACGGACTTGCTTGGTGTGATCCGTACGGTCAATGGGGGTTCCGAACAGCGCAACACCCACCGAAAGAGGGGATTCGACCTCATCAAGAATTCCCTTGCACGGGCGACCTTCTCCCCCTGTGTTCTCCTTGGAGGACGAGCCATTGGCCGAGCCTTCAGCAAGTTTTTCCAGCCCTCCCCGCAACTCATCCGGTTCCGTCCAGGAAGCCTCATCCGAGTTCGCCGCAGTGCTCGTGCTCGGATGCGCTTTCGAATGGAGCTGCAGCATAGCACAATATAAACCAAGGTCGGAGTGTGCTAAATTTTGGATGAAGGCATGGGGAACACATACAAGATTGGCACCCAGGTTGGTGTTTGGCACATGTCAACGACGTCGTAAACGTCTCTCACCTCTAACCCGCTTACCTGTGCATGAAGGCCGCCGACGTTCCGCTCTATTCCCTCATCATTCACGTCCAAGTCTCTCCTTTCCGTCGCTGCTGCTGTGCGAGATTCTTCCATGAGAGGTCGGGAACTCGCCAGGCCACAGCAGTAGCGGAGGAAAGGAATCAACGAAACCCTCACGCAGCATGCAACTGCGCCGTTGTGAAGTGATTTGGCCCCCTTCATGGAACGTAATTCCCTCACGCCCATGGCCGAAGTTACTGGTGCCCCGACGAATCTGTTCGGCGCGTATGAAACATGGTATGACACATCGGTGGGGACACACGGGCGCATAAACAGAAATCCAGGTATGTAGTGAGCGAGAGAGCTCCGACGAGTGTATCTCCCACACGCACTTCTTTGTCATAGCCAAAAACTTTGCCCTAGAAAAATCTTGCAATCTTGGATCGGCACAAAGAAGAAGATTTGGCGTTACTTGCCTGCCCTTGTGTTGCTTTACCTCGAGTACCAGTGGTGGAATTTTTCGCTGCCCAGCGTCCCATCTGGGTTTAAAACCGCATCCTCAAACGCGTGAGCAGTGGCCGTTTCAGCTAAATATGCAGGATCCACGCGCTCTCCCCTTGGGTCGTTCCCCGCAAGAACACGCGCTCCTGGGTCCACGTGAAACAATACCTGAGAGAGTGCGGAACAACGGCACCGACGATGACGCCGAGGTTGCTGAAACACCCCAGTCACATACGAGTGAATGGCTCGATGGCTTTCTTAAACACCTATTGTGCGACAATCGGAGATCGAGTCGTGGCCGCACCTTGAAAACCGCCTGTAGAAACTTCCGCATGCAGTCTCGTGCGATGGAGCCCTCCACAGTCCCGTATACTTCGAACATCGCCCGTACACTTGCATTGTTGATGTTTCCACAGAATAAACTGATACCGCTGCTTGTTTATGGCCGTCAATTGAGGGAATTCGGGTCAAAGCTACCTCAAATCCAAAGAATAAGCTGCGAGGACCAGTCCCAACGGGACAAATCCCTGCTTAAAACCTACAAACAAATCAGATTTCTGCCTGGACGTGAATGGGTACGAGAAGGAAGCATACCTTGCCATATTGCCACTTCGCGAGTATTGAGAAACAGGCAGCTTGGCCCATCTAGCGTTATCGTACGTGACAACGAAGGTTCTATTCTCCATCGCTCACCTGGCCAGATCTCTGGGCGCCACGGTCCCCATTCGATCGCCGTCTAAAACTTGGTACAGTCGCGTTAGACTTATCTGCCAACACCCGGGAAACGTCAGATGCATGGACGACAGAAAACAAACTTAGATACATATACCAGTCTTGACATACCTAGCGCCCTCCATCCTATCGTAGGGCGGGATGCAGGACGCGACAGTGGAAAGATGCTCCCTACCGCGGAAATATTGGCCATCTTGAAGTTGCGCATCACTCTTTATTTTCATGAATATTTTTTCCCAATCCCATTTGTTGACCTTTGCTCGAAGTTTTCTGCCTAGGGTATGGTCTTGCTGCAAAATGAAGAGCTCCCACCCGGGGCCACACCAAGGAACTTCTCTGACGCTTCCCTCCTTTTTCTTCACGAACAGCTTCAGCAGTTCGTTGCTTCGAGTGTACTCACGAGCAAGCGCTCTTTCAGTACCAGATGCGAGCAGCAGGACGAACTCGCTTCGGTGGGATTCACTCCCTACGTTAGTTACTACATACATTAGACGGCTTGCCAGGTCACAACCACATTCCAATCTAACATATTCCAATCTAACAGGACCCTCAGGATGCTCTCCTTGGATGTCGTGTCGGCCATAGCCAAAGGGGGCTAAGAGGAAGTCATGTATCCCTACCTTGAGCTCCATCGTTTCCGCGGCGGAAAGAACGCAGCGCCCGTCCTCCTGTACCAGTCAGTACACATCAGGTAGACACGCGCAGGGCATCTCCGAGTCACAAAGGGAATGAATTACACTGATGTGAGAATTTGTCTTGCCCCTTATGAAACTGTTTCGACTCGGTACAAACGTCGACAGAGGCTTACGAAAAACGGGCTTACCTCAAACAAAGCTCGCATGCATCCAACAAAAGCCGGTCGAGAAATTCCGCCGCTCTGGTCCACGAACGCCGACAACAATCCGAGAACAACCGTGACGTCGTACTTCCGAAGACCTTGCAGTAAGTGTCCCCAACACCCGCCGTCTGCCGTTTCACTGCTCCTTTCGGTTTCTTCCAGGATAGCAACGGCAGACCTGAACCAAAGTAGGGGAATGATAGTAACCATACTTGAACTGGTGGCGGGCGTTGGGATCATGGCTTAAAGTCTCGCATCGCATTGATCTCTTCTGTGGTCAGCTTTCGACACTACCAACAGATGCATGCAAGACCGGATACTTGAGATGCAACCACAATTCCTGTGGGAAATCTAAGCAATCCGAGACATGCATTAGCGTAACTTCAGGAATCTTTCACAACTTAGGAGGGTGCAAACACAGACGAAGAAACAAATGAAGGTCGATTGCCTGGTGTCGAAAGGGCGGTGGGCTCTTACCAGTCGATCGTAACGCGTCCACTCAGTGGTAAACCCTTACGAAGGAAGAACTCCGATGAAACAACCGCGGAGACCTCCTGCGGTAGCATCCCTGGCCAAGGCCAGTCTGCGGTGCCAGAGGCGTGGAGAACCTACGGGGGAAAAATACAGGTTTCTTCTGTTACAAGTGCTGGAAGTACAGCAGGGATCTAACTTGTTCGTCTCCGCAATCTTCGTTGCAAAATTGTGTTGCACGGCACACGCGGCGTCAACCAGGAAATCCGAGTGCGATAGACTCGTATAACCCGTGGCACGCGGATCGTGTACAGTTCGCGGTGTTGCTTGCCCACTCGCAACCAGGCACATACCTTGAGAATTGAAAGGGTGAGTCCAAAAACGTCGTCGAACCCGGAATCACCATCAGGCCCTCTGTACAGTCGGCAAGCGCACTGAACAAATTGTGCCATACTCGCATCGCACAGCACTGTCAGCCCTGCAGCCAAATCTTGGATGTGAAGGATTCCCCCTCGCCCGTCGTCGAACAAATCAAACATCGCGCGGGTCGTGGACAGGGCCTTAATGCCGAGATTTTTCGCCAAGTGCTTCAAGTCGGCATCGAACTCGGCTCTGAGGACGCCCGGCAGGTGAGACGAAAGGTCGCTACGATTGTAAGATGGAGCTCCCTGGCATGACTGAAGGGATCGATTATTTCCGTGGGCGGTTTCGTGTCCACGGAAAAATGAAAGAAATGCAGCAAGGTAAGCGTACGAGATTGCAACCCTTTCCGAAGAGTTGGGTTATCCCAGCAAGATCAGAACATCGGGAGTTATAATGAAGTTGCGGGTGAAATCTCAGCGATCTGGCACAGACCTGGTCAGTTGCCCATCACTTGCTGCAGTGGCACAGAGAGCATCCAAAACTTTGTCTGCGGGAAACGCGACGAGTCTCAATCTCCTTCTTAGCACCGCCAAACCTGTGTTCACCTGCATTCCATGTTTCGAGTGTTACACGTATGCAGCTTGAACGCTTTGACTTGATTGATACATATAATGATAGCTATCGCACGAGGGACGGCAGTAGAGGGAATCACCTTGCCAAGTGCCATCCATGTATACATTCCGAGCAACGTATATTTCCGAGCGCATGCAATTCTCACCGTGGTGTTGGGTGCTGCGGCGTCTGCCGAAAACAATTCTTGGAGAATATTTTCCAAGGTATCCTTGCGGCCTGACTCGCTTGCTTCCATGTTGTCTTTACTCCCCGTGGCACGCCCCTGCTTTGCAGTACCTCCGAGGACAGGCACAATGCGGCATGGGGCCCGCTCCGAAAAATACTTTGGGGCTCTGGATATGAAGCTGACTGGAAAATATGTATCGAGAGACGGATCCACGAGCCCCGCCACCTTCATTGCACGCAGTACGCAGTGTCGCAAAAGAAGTGAATAAAACACCAGCTGTGCACTGAGGAACCAACGCAACAACGCCGATCAAAGTTCGGCGCAGCACCGCCACATATCGAAGCTGGTCGGCGTTGGCAGAGAGGTGGTCGATGAAAACATGCACATGTGAGCCTCCCGTCAGACATGGCCGAATTTCAATGTGCAGTGTGCGGCCCGACTGCCTTGATAGCACATGGTTGTGTCAAACGTACAACTGTGTTGTTCACCTTGTCTGGGAGCGAAAACGCAGCTCTCAACGCCTGTTGAACGTCCCTGCCGGATATTCCCGGATACACAAGAAGAGCCTGACGAAAAAAGCAGGCAGGCAATTGGGTGTTAATGGTGTGTCTGCGTTGCCTCACGTTATGTGTCTTGTACTACATGAAACAGATGTTTGCAGGGTTAAACGCTTCCACAAATACATAAGTAAATTCGAAGGGCATTGGGGGGGCTCGGCCCAGGAGAGATACCTTACAATTGGCGGATGACAGCCGCTCGTTGGATAACAGTTCGCAGGTCACTAGACTGGTGTGAATACATCAATGCTGCGTAGAACCAGGGGACCATCGAGACGGCCAGGAATTCGGGGCTATGCATTTGGGTTAGGGTCACGCGGGAGAAAGCGGAAGAAATAAAGGCGGCTAGTCTAGAGGATACGTGTACTAGGAGTGCGTGCAACTACGGGGGCGTGCCTTCTGCGAGAATCAAGCTACAATATGGAGGGTCGATGCATCAAAGGACCACTTTCGATCCCTTGCCGCGCACTGCTGTAACATGCCCAATAGGAAGCAGGCTACATGCACATACAACCGTACTGCTGTCGTGGTTGGAGGGTTGGTCTGCACTTTTTCTACGTACCACACACACACGTGTAAGATGTTCAACAGCAAACAAGAATACCGCAATACCATGTCATCATGTGCGGTTGGTCCGCACCTTGGGTTGCCTGCGCACACAAATCTGCAATTGTTCGAGGACCCACAACAAGTAACTGCTATGTACAGCAGTAGAAGTGTAGTCTTCACAACACGTACGTAGACTAGATTTCGTCGTGTGACTACCTACCGTTGTCTTGCCGCGAAGGAACACTCTTCTTTTAGTTCTCCTCAGAGGAGGCAAGAAGCGTAATGGGAAACGTTGTTAGGGGGCACCCTCTACAATGTGGCAACGTGGTACAAAACACTTGGATCCAACACGAGAGGCGGGGTCGGCACCAAACTAACCTACGTCCACTTGGGTGGACGTGCGTTTACATGAATCGTTCCAGCTCGGAACAAATCCGAGCGAGTTTCATTGTCCACTCTGCCAACCACGCTGATGAAAACGAACGATACGTTGTGTGCTTGTTTTCCACATTGGATCGAGCCCAGGTATCGCAGGCACATCCGTGATCGGCGTGCAGTATTCACCTCATCAAGCTACAAAAAACGCACCGCACCGTCCGTATGCATGCACCCGCGCCGTAATCCGCTACTTCTAGTACGCCCTTGGGTGCGGGAAAATATCGTGTTTTTGAATAAATATGTTTTCTACGAAAGAGGTTTCGAGGGTTCATGGTTCATGGCCATGCCGCATGCCTCCTTCTTCTTTATCCGCGCGTGGTCATATGACCCCCAACACCGTACCTTTGTTAGCATTCCTTGCGGATCTTGCACGTTCACTGCAAAGCATTCCATGCTGCCGCCGTCATGAGAGCCAGCGAGAAGACTAAGGCACTGAATGAACAACACTGACGGAACGTTGCGGGGCCACACATACAGGATTTCGCCATACCCATTAGTGAGGTGGTTCCGACCCCTCGCACACAGGCACCCTGGGATCGGCTGCCACACAGGGCAGGGGACCGCTGCTGGACACATATAGCGAGAGGAGGGGGAGCTCACTTGCGGACAGATCCATCTCCTAGATACAACGAGGCAAAGAGAAGTTCGACGCCAAGGTGTACCTGCTTCCGGGCGTATTTTGGCGGGACGAACCTTTTGCTCTACGGGCGGCGCTGCTAGGGGTAGCGGAGAGGGAGCGGATGGCGTCTCTTCAATCAAATACGGGAGGAAACAAGAGAAGAGTGTCCTACTTCTATGATGGTGAGGCGCCAATGTATAGAATGTCGATAGTTTTGGGTATATATATGAAATGTTGTCAACTGTACCCAAGTTTGCGAGGGAGGAAAGGCGAGAATCCCAAAGTGACAGCAAGCTGCCGGTACATAAGCAGCACCGGTACAGATGTTCAGCGCAGCACTGCCGTAGACCGACCGTACGCTCGCGAAGCGGGTGTTGCGCCCCCTTCTCTGGGCTGAACTGCAGCACCTGGTATCACACAGCCTGGGTCTCTTTTGAAGCCCTAAAGAACGACATCTCTTGATTTACTGCGCCTTTGGCGCCAATACTCCAAACGTTAACGTGGGGGTGGGTACCTTGTCTGCGAACTCAGCCAGATGGGATCCTGACCTGGTGTACCCATGCGTCCTGCCGTTGACGCCAACAGCATAGTCCTTGTCCGTCTTCGTTCGTTTGCAGCCGAGATCGGGAACTACCACTACGGGCAAGGGCACCCCATGAAACCGCACCGTGTTCGTATGACCCATAACTTGGTGGTAAACTACGGTTTATACCGCCAGATGGAGGTGTTTCGGCCGAAGCCCATCAGCAGCCAACAGATGACTCGCTTCCACTCCGATGACTACATCAACTTCCTACGGGTCATAACACAAGACAACATGCAGGTAAACAAACTTTACATGATGTTTGGGTGAGTTGAAGCGCACTCTAAGACACACACACGCTGTAGTGCTTTTTTGTCCCACGAGCACTACGATCGTACTTTCATGGTCAGCCGGTTGTGTTCAGAAGCAGCTACAATACTCTCAAGGAGTACATACGAAAAACGCCTCCGAGTTAGCATACGACTGATGTCTTCTCATTTGTCAGCTGGTTCTGCCCGATGCTAAAAAATGACACGAATTTGATCCTCTGTTTTAAGTAATATTACAGTAATCTGAACCCGACGGCTGAACCATCAACCATCCTGCACGCTCTCCTTCCATGCTCGCCATCATAGGCGCAGCCTGAATATTTGTTGCTGTGGTGTACCTCCCCCAACGCGGACGAGGTTGATCAGCGAGGTTCTGACGGGTTCCCCTTTGTCCAAAGGTGCTGAACGGAAAGGCTGCATGTCTCGCTGGGTCTTGAGTTTTGTAGTGTGTATCTGAGTTCTTGCGGTAAAAACGGCGCGTACGGCGCTCGCTTGACATGCTGTCGGGTTTGTGTGTTGAGCGACATCCCGCTCCGCCCCGCTGTTCTTTTCTCATGCCTGGTGCAAAAGCACAACTATACTCAGCTGCAGCGCTTTAACGTCGGCGAAGACTGCCCCGTTTTCGATGGGCTTTTTGAGTTCTGCCAGCTGTACACGTCCGGCTCAATCGGTGGAGCCATCCGGCTCAATAACAAGCAGTCGGATGTGGTGATCAACTGGGCTGGGGGCTTGCACCACGCGAAGAAGGTGAAGACACCCCAAATCGCCCATAGTGTCGTCAGCTTGTGACCGAAATTTTGTCCCCGAAATTTGTCCCCGGCAAATCTAACAAGGTTTAATCTTAGCGGTAGACGTCTCATGGTTCCCGGCGACGAAAGCTACGACTTGTTTGGAGCTCGGAACAGTATTTTGTGTATATCGCCCCCCCCCCCCCCCCCCCCCCCCCCCCCCCCCCCCCCCCCCCCCCCCCCCCCCCCCCCCCCCCCCCCCCCCCCCCCCCCCCCCCCCCCCCCCCCCC